AGATCCATACAATTGCGCTATCCTTAGTGGAGCATAATCCATCCAACCACCAGGGCGAGCATCAAGATACTCTCTGGTCAACACCGTAGTCATGTTCCGATACTGCAAAATCTCAACACTTGTAAATATTCATCCGGAAAATACAACTTAACCAGGACAAAAGGGATGACGTGACAATGCACCTGTTCCCACAGTAGGATTGTCTCACACACATCATAATGGTACTCCAAATCCTCAAATTTGTTAAACTGCGTATTGTACTGCAATCATTGAAACATGGAAAACAAAAAAATCAGCATTTGGCTATTCTTATAATTTGGGTTTTGGACCTAACTAAACTCTAAAAACTAGCTTAAAATATGAGAAATACCACCACTTATAAACGCTATTTTATCCATATCAAAGGTCAGCATAGAATTTCCAACACACACCCTTTACACCAAAGTTAGGACATTTGAAGGTCGCCCAATAACCAATTGATAGTGAGTGACTTGATAGGCCAACAACAACAACTAGAATAGACTAATTAAACTCTAATATCATCTTATAATTTAAATTTTAAGTCCAATGCAACCCCAAAAGCTAGCATAAGAGGTAAGTGCTACCCCTCACTTATACACATTATTTTAGCAACATCAGTAGCCAATGTGTGATCTCTAACATCTTCCGATGAAAACTGAATCAAATAAGAGAACTGAGTACTCCAGAGACAGAACGACATACCCAAGTGCTGTTGGTATCTTTGGGGTATTTAAGGATCAATTTGCAATGATCAACAACATGTGCAGTGAGTCCAAGCCCCCTGTTATCCTGTTTCAATTCCCAACCTCAACCTCAGCAACATCTTCCGACATCTAAATTTTTTTTTATAATAATTATTAAATAAAAGACAAAGCAGTTAATTGAGAAATGATTAGACACATCAGATCCAAGAGTTACAACACAGTGCTGAACAGTGGACTGGAAGTTAGACAAGACGCGGATTGTTTCGGAGTTGCGATCCGAATAGAGAGAGCCTGAAAACGCGAATTGGGGTGAAAATAAAGAAAACGCGAAGGGGAATTGGAATTGGAATGGTTAGGGCGAATACCTGCGAAGAAAGAGGATTGGAGGTAGAAGAGGAACAGGGAGAAGAATGCAGCCGCACACACCAGATACAGAACGGTGGGTCTCCGGTTAACGGAGGGTACTTGCTTGTGCGGCCTCATTGGAGAGAGAGAGAGAGAGAGAGAGAATGTGACTTAGTTATCGGAAACGACGACGTTTTCTGCTCTGATGAACATTGCCGACATTCTTTGCCTCAGATTTGAGATGTTCTGATTTCTGAACGGACCTGATGCCAAAATTTTTAATAAAGTCCGGTGGAGCTGTGATTCAAGTTATCTTTCTCCATTTTTTAGAATATAAAGTGAAGGTTAGAATTGTTGGTAGAATTTCATACAACAACATTTTCTAAGTTAAAGGAGGGGAGTATTGTAATAGCCCATTTTTCGTGGGCCGAAGGCCCAATTCGTGGCCGGAACGGTCCGTTTCAAAATTGAAACGGGCCGTTCAAGAATAGGATGAATTCCTAAAAATGTAGTGGCAGAACGGGCCGTTCCAATTGGAGAACGGGTCGTTCTGGTTTGGAGAACGGGTCATTCTGGTTTGGAGAACGGGCCGTTCTAGAAGCAAAACGGGCCGTTCTGCTGGGTTTGAGAACGGGCCGTTCTAATTTTAGAACGGGCCGTTCCAGTTGAGAAATTTACGTAGGTTTGAAGGGCCCAGAACGGGCCGTTCCGCTTTTAGAACGGGCCGTAGTGGTAGGTGAGCCAGAATTCCTATAAATAGGGGGCTTCACTTCTCATTTTTCACACACCTCTCATTCTCATTCTTTCTTCTCTTCTCTCTTCTTTCCCTCTTCTTCTTTCTGAAGACTAAGAGGAATCTAGAGGAGGAGGTTTTGCCCTAGTTTTAGTTCCGGTTCCTGTTTAAGGAAAAAGAAGAGGAGGTTCTGCCCTAGTTCCTATTTATCCAGGTACGGGGGAAAATGGAATTATTTATATGTAGAGTTACATGAGGGAATCGGGTAGAGGAAGAACCCGTAGAATTATGAGTAATTTTATAATTATTTTCTGTTTGAAGAATTATTTGTCTTATATGATTCTGTATATATTTAGGACTATGAATATATATTTAATTTGTAAAAATGATGATTTGGGAGAGAGAACGAAATTATAGAAAAGTGCCTGTAAGCTAGGTTTTGGGAAAATTAGATTATTTCTGTTTGAGAAATTGATGATCCCATTAGATTCTGTATGTGTTGAGGATTAAAAATATATATTTAATTTGTAAGAATGATGATCTGAGAGGGAGAACGAAATTGTAGAAAAGTGTCTGTGAGTTAGGTTTTGGAATAATTGGGGGTTTTACCGTTTATGTTAATATTATATTAAATTGGTAATTCCATTAATTATTATATTAATCTATGAATGTTATTGTTATATCACTTGATGAAAATTGATGATTTAGATGTGAATTGTTTGAGGGATATGTAAACCCTTATTTTGTTGGACTTATCTGTTGTGTATGTGATATGAAATTATGCATGGAATTGAAATATGAGATGGATGTTGTGTGGATATGATTATGACTGTGATTGTGGTACCTCACATCAATGACCAGGGATGGCACGGCCCCTGGGTAAGTGATGCTACAGGGAGGGCGTGACCCTGGCATGATGTGGGATGAGTGAGACAATTAACACGTATCACTTATGTCAATTGTGGCGTGGCCTTGACATAGTGTTAATTGTAAGAATTGTGTGGATTGTGATGTGATTGTGGTTCTTCACACCTATGACCAGGGGTGAGCACGGCCCGAGATTGTTACATGAGTATCGTGACCTTGGTTAACATGTTAGGGGTGAGCACGGCCCTAGGTTAGGGGTAACGTGACCTTGGCACATTGTTATATCAGGGGTGAGCACGGCCTTGGATTGTTAAATGGGTAGCGTGACCTTGGCATAGTGTGAAGTGCAAGATTTGTGATGATTGGTGTGATTGAGAATTATGATGTGATGACGATGCATGGTTGATTGATATACGTCATGCTGAAATATTTATGAATATTAAGTTACAACGAGATAATATGTTGTGTTTTCTTATGTGCTATATATATAGATGTTTTCTTTTCTCACCGTATGATTTGTGGGTATTTTTAGGCGAGGAAGATCCGGCTTTGAGTGGCATCTAGGATGCCAACAGTTGAATTGTGGGTGTGCTCTGATATTGTGACATCGGGGCAGAAAATTCTAGGATATAGATTTTTATATGTATTTTGAGTTATATCTTATCTTTTGAAAACGATTTGTAAACTCTTAAATTTTACTTTTTAAGTTTTATTTCTAGTTATTTTGGATATTGAAGAAAGAACAGTTATGATGTTTTATGTGAACCATTTTACCAACGTTGAAAATTTTATTCTTTAAGTTTATTTACATGATTAATATTTATATATGTGTTGGGGTAGTAAGGGTGTCACACTTGTACCCGATGTGTTACTTCCCACGCCTAATGTATAGAGGACAAATCCTCTCTACTCTTGTCACACCATACACCATGAACTTGCGCTCAATGTGATTGTGAATTCTGTACTTCATAGAGCCACGATTGGGGTTCCTCAAACCTCTCTAATTCACCCTTAACACTTACCTACTTAGTTCTTTTGATCAATTACCCTTAATCTACATATATAACATTTATTTAACATCAATTAACATTGAATCATCCAATTCATACAAAATCTCCAATTTATTGTGTAACCTAATCCTCAAATATTCAAACACATAATAAAGTATAGTTCATAATATCAATTCACGAAAATTACAATTGTTTCGGTATGCCTAAAAGTCCAACATCGCTTATGAGTCGAGACTAAGGGTAGTTTATAAACATCCTCCCTCCTTAACCCACAGAGACGCCTTTTAAAGGACAAAGTCATGACGGCCCAACGAGTGTCAAAGCGAACAATACCTCAGATGTTGTGACCCTAACGATGACAGTGGACTTACAGTAGGAACAACAACAATTCATATTCATACAACAATTCTCTAATCAAAACAACATCATCTCCATTAAAAACATACAATTATAAGTCTTAAGAAGACTTATGAATCACCTCACTACCCATATCTCTCATACGTGTTCATAAGGTGAGATATTCTCACTCCTCATCTTTACTGTAAAAGATGATTTCCAAAGCATGGGCTTGATCTCCATGGTTTGAAACTCTTCTACGTGCTCTTTAAAATTCTCCTCTAGGACTTTCTCTACAAAGACTCCGCACTAGGCTTAAGAGTCCAAATCCAAATTCTATCCACAAATTTATAGTCTAATTTTATTTTATTTTAACAAAAATGCCCATCACTTACATTATAATACTTATTAATGAATTGATTAAGCTCACTATACAAATATAACTAAAATAAATTTATTTTATTTATTTATTGAAAAAATAGGATGTCATAAATCCAACGAAATTTTAAAACTATTCTTCATACATTATTTATCTTAATACCTCTCTTTTTCTATGAAATTCCAATTCCTTCTTGGTTGTACTTCCCAATTGCCTTTTCTAATTTCTTTTACCCATCGCTCCCCCAACCCGATTTTCTAACTGCCTTTTTTAATTTTTTTTATCCATTAAATGGACCCCCCCAACCCGACTTCTTAATGATTTGTTTTTATAATTTTTCCAGTTTTAAAATAACAAATTATATTTTCAACAAAATATCAAATTAACTGATTAGTAATCATTTAAAAATCAAAAAAATATTTTATAATTATTTTATGGTTGACTAATGATAAATTACTTGTTTAAATAAATTTGTAATGTACAAATAAATAAATTAAAATAGTAAACTTTTAGTAATTAAAAAAAATACAACAGATACATGGTTAATTATTTTACATAGTGGTATCCAGTTCCATACGACTGTTATGTGGAAGGTTTCGTCATTGACATCCATGCCAAACTATTTTCTATTGTTATGATTTTATAATTACTTTCTGTTGCTTCACATCCTCAAGTGATTGAAATTTTGTGTAATTGCCTATTTGTTGCTGAAGAACTATGAGTCTCCTCATAATGATTCAATGAAATGTTAGGTTTGAATATATTTTGTATAAATACATTGGTAGACTTTGACATTCAAAAGTTTGCAACAAAAAAAATTGTCATAAATTTTTTTAGATATGCATGCAAAAATGAATATCGGTAATTATCAAAAGTTTATTGAAATTGTTGTCGTACCGGAACGAATACAATTACGAGTCCTCGTATTAATTTTGCATAATGTTATCAAGATATGCTTCCGATGGAATAATACTAAGGCCAAGAAGACCAAGATGTGATATATTGAAGGAGGCAAGAGGAATGGATTAGTGTTGAAAAATCATAGGAGGAGTGGACCTACTTTTGGGCCTTAGCTCCTACGTTTTTATTAGCATAGAATTTATTCTTATTTCCAATTTTACCCTTATCTTTAATTTTCGAATTTTATCTTTGTATTTTGGGTATCTTAGTCATAGGATTTATTTTCTTTTGTATTTCCCATTTTACCCTTGTATTATGGGGTTCTTTAGATCATAGGTTTTTAATTTTGGGCTAAGGTATTTAATTAGGGAGCTAGACGCATTTTTGGTGGTGTTTGGACCTATTTTTGGACTTAGAAAGGCTGAGGGCAAAGGTTGCATGGTCTTATCATGCACCTAGATGTAGTCTAACTAAACCCAAAGATTCCATCCTTGGTCACCAAGTTGCATCTAGGGTTAATTTGGGTTTCATTTGGTGTGCATTTGACATTGTAAATTTCGGTCAATGCAACCCTAGATGTCTCCCACTCTTATAAATACCCTAGGCACCACACCTTGTAAATACTTTGGATATTGAATATAAAGATAGCCTTTTGTGCCTTTATATCTTTTCTTAGTCACTCACCCTTGGCTAATTCGGCCACCTCCCTCCCATCTCCACCTTGAGAGAAACAACCCTAGAAGTGGCCTTCATCATCATGAAGTGAGCCAACCCTAGAGTACCCTTCTCAAGCATTTCCTCAAACACCTTCTACCCAACCTCCATTTTCATCCATTCTATCATCATCCACCCTAAAACCTTGTGCCACCTTTGAAGAATTTGATCCTTGGAGAAGGCGTCCTATTCTTTGTTGATCATCTCAAGTTCATGCAAGTAAGGATGCCATTAGCTTCCAATCCACTCACAAAAAAGTATTTAATTAGTTTGTTTGTAAATTACAATTTTAGTTAAAGTAGTAATTTATCAACTAATTAATTTATAGAATAATTATAATATTTTTTTAAAAATAATTACTAATTATTTAATTTTATTTTTAAAATTAAATATCTCTCTATATATATATAACAAAAAAAATTAGTTAAAAAATCGTGTTGAAGAACTCAACTTCTTAATGGTTCGGAAAAACATTAAAAAAAAAGTTGATATTGAAAAAATAATCCCTTATTTTGGTGAATATTTATTTATTTATTATGATATAAAAATGAAAATTTTTTTCTAGAACACTAATCATCATTTTCTGTAGTAAGATAATTAATTTTTATAATAATTATTTTAAAAATAAAATAGAGTACATAATGATAATAACATTCAAATACAAGTATATATTTTTTCAAATTTTAAAATAATTAAATTTTAACTCCAATGTACATGTTAAAGATTTATGATATATAACTAAAATTTATAATAAATTATATATATATATATATATATATAGTATTTAAATATATAAATCACATTCAAAATTAATACAAATAGATATTTTGAACATATAAAATATATTTTAGATTTAGGATAAACATTTTATATTGTGATAGAATATTATTTTTAAGTTTTAAATGTATTTTGCCCTTAAAGTATAGTAATTAGTGTAATTTTAGTCTCTCATCTTTTAATTAAATAATTTTAGTTCATTAATTTTGATTTATCAAGTATCATAGTCGTTATGCAATTTTTGCTTTTTCAATTTTTCATTAAATAAATTTAATTTTTAAAATATTATAATTGTATAATTTTAGTTTTGAAGTATCACAATTTCAAGTGTAAAAAAAAGTACCACAATTATGCAAATCTTTATCAAAGTTACATATATTAGTAATTTTAGTATTAATAAATATATCATTTAATACATGAATGAAAAATTATAATATATGTAACTTAATAAATAGGTAAAAAATTGATTAATTAATTATAATACTTGAAAAATTAAAATTTGAAAGTCAAGATCACATAATTATTATAATACTAGAAGAGTAAAAAGAAACGTAATTAAGCATACTTTTAAATATGAATAATTTATTTAAAAAAAACTACAATTTATTTCATAAATAAATATAATAAATAAAAAAGATAAATTAGATAAACAACTAAAAAAAACCCTTTCTTCAAAAAAAAAAAAATTTCCTAAAAGGGTAGTCATTTTTGTTTAACATGCAAGTGTGAATAATAAAAATAGTTATTTCAAAAGTAACGAAGATCCGCTTTCATTCCTACTTTAGGCATGGAAGTGAAAAGAATAATTTTCCTTACCTAATAATAAAAAATTATACCTCTTTATAAAATATATATATATATATATATATATATATATATATACAT